TTTTTGTGATAGGGTTGCCAGAAAAAATAAGGGACACCTAGTTAAATTTGAATTTCAGATAAACAATGCATAATTTTTAGTAAAAGTGTCCTAAATATGTGCTCAAAGTTATTTGTTGTATTCCCCTGTGTTTTTGTTTGCTAAATCTGGCAACTCTACTTTTAATTTAAGCCATACAGTCTCTTTCATGACTACCCAACTATTGCAGTGTAAAAAACAGCCAAGGACAAGAGTAAAAGCAGCCAAGAACCAGGCATAAAACAAACAGGCATGATTATGTTTTGTGTTATTTATTAACATGGAAACTTGAGTTTCATATCATTTTCATGTGTCAGGAAATATTCTTTCAATATAATTTTTCAGTGATTAAAAATGTAAAAATCATTCTTAACTTGTGGGCTATACAAAAGCAGGCAACGGGCTGAATTTGATCTATGGGCTGTAGTTTGCTGTAGTGTAAAATGTTTTCTGAATTAATAGGGTTTAAACAAACGACTTCTTGTAATACAACTGATTGGGAAGTCTGGGCATGCAAGTATCTATAAATGCCTTAGTACTGACTCATCCTCCAGCTACTGAAGAACTTTGTTTTCAGCACTGCCAAGAAGCTTCACAGATTTCAGATTCACTAATTTAAGGATAAATCAGAACTCAAATGAATACAATAGTAACAGGTTGGGGGAGGAGGGTGACTTAGCAGACCACATGCTTTTCCAGCTATCAGAAAACACAGTAGCATATCAATTTAATACATGGTTGAAGACTGAATGTTGCCTTAGACCAACATTTTAACAATTTTTAAAACTTTAATTGAACAAATAAAACAAACAAAAATCCATTTTAACAGGCAAAAAGTTATAACAAGAACTTACATAAAACAGGAGCGACTCTTTCCCTTGAAACCCTTGGTTTATATCTGCACCCACAAGCTTGGGCAGGAAGACGATCAAGAGTGATTTCTCCCACTGTTGGTTTGACGTCAAACCATTCTATAAAGTATAAATACAAAAGTTATTTCTTAAAAAGTCACCATGACAATTGTTAAAGTAAAACACCATAATTTATAAATTCAAGCAAATTATTTAAACATCTTTTTTTATTATATTTCTAAGAGTGGTATGAATACATAGGTTAATAACCCCCTTCCCACATTTCTCACAATATCTTTGGTGCACAAAATAGTTTACTCAAAGTTAAAGGTAGTCTTTGTGTTCTTACTAATTTTTGAAATGTTTTTGTTTGATTAACATATATACAACAAGCTGAGCAAATCATAAGTTTAATTAATTCCAGTGAATTTTTGGAGTGAATACCCCTGTGTTACCATCACCCAGATCAAGAAATGATATATTACCAGTACCCAAAAACCCTCTCCTTTTTCTCCCAGACAGTATACTGAAAGGAAAAGGCTATCCTGACTTCTGTTATCATAGGTTAGTTGTACCTATTTTTATATCCATATAAACAAAATCACACATTTCATTTTACAAACATTTTTGTACTATAAAAATAGTGACTTAAAATTATTTCCATGTTTCCCATATTTCTTTTTAGTGAATCCTGTAAACAGAATTACTTGGGCACTTCCTTTGTGCTTCTGAAGATCACTTTTTCCTCGGCAGCTTATCCTTCACTGAGTCTTGAAGAAGTATCTAAGATAATTTCTACTCATCCATCATGCCCTGTTAAAACTAAACACAACTCTGGTGGGTAACATTCCCAGAACTATAATTATTACAATTAATTATTTTGGCAACAAATGAGAAACTTTTAAAATTAGCAGTTTCCAGAATCAAGACTGGAGGTAGAGATAGAGCACTATTCAAGAATTGGAAAGTGTTCAAAAGAAGGCAACAGGGATTCAGGTTACCTTTGCACAAAGATGGACTTTTAAATAGAAGAATATAAAATAATGATATCTAATTTGTGGTGACTATTCAAGAATTGGAAAGTGTTCAAAAGAAGGCAACAGGGATTCAGGTTAGCTTTGCACAAAGATGGACTTTTAAATAGAAGAATATAAAATAATGATATCTAATTTGTGGTGTTAAAAAGTAATTTGACAGAACCAAAATGCTGGACAACAAAAGAACTTTGGCAAAGTATGGGGTGGGAGGAAGTGATCAGAGTCAAGTGATCAGAGTCATGTAGATAAAGAGTGTAAAGATGTTAGTTTCAGACTAGGTAAATATATATGTTAACATTTCTAAGG